AAAATACCAGAAAGGCAGATGGACCGTTTTCATCAGGCAAAATCATCTGGAGTTAGGTTCCACACAGAGAGGCAGTACAATGGGTTACTGCAACTAGAGACAGCAGGTACAAGCCATATACAATGAGAAAGCTGGTGAGGCCCCCAGGTTCTGAGAGCAAGAATTCAAAGTAAGTAGAGATGACTGCTGAGAAACTGCACCAGCTTAAGATGCCAATATATAAGAAACACCCAAAAAGTAACATTACAAAGAAAACATGCAAGGCAGAGGTCCTGGAGAAGAGACTGAAGAAGGTAAAAGTTAGAGAGTTAGACAGTGTGAGAGTACACCCCAAAAACACTGAAACCAAAGTAACTGGGTCAAAAGTGGAAGAAAACTGAAAACAAGGTGGAAAATAGGTGCGTGCATTATAGCAGATAGGGTCATGTGGGAAAGCCTCCAGATGAATGTTAAGCATGAAAATACACAAACACATCAAGAAAGAAGTGAAGACGTGTAGAGGGAATGAAATAAAAAAAGTAGAATGAAAAAGAGATCCTTCAACTGAAAGAAATGATTCAGGTGAATGAAGCTCTGTAAAAAAGGGAACCAAAGATTCATTGAAAAATTAATGGAGAAAGAGAAAACAAAAGACAAATACCCGTTTGATCCAAACAGTGATGGACAAAAGTGGGACTACCTGATTCACAATGGGAAGAAAAATTAAAAGCAAAATCAGGCATGGAAACAACAGTAGTGAAACATTTACAAGCTCATCTGAAGTAAGAGAAGCAGGAGGTTAGGAATCCTGGATCTGAGATCAGAATGGAACTAGCCATGTGGTGCACAATGGCAGTAATATCACTAACCATCAGTGCTTCCAGTGGCCATAAAAGTATTGGATAACTCCTGCAAAGGAGTGATAAAAACCTCAAGAGAGGTCATAAATGTGTGAACATGATGCATAATCCATAAAACTGACATTGTGGGGATTAATTTTTGTAAAATAAACAGCAGGCACCTTTTTTGTTATTAGTTAGAAAGAAAATGAGCTAGGTATTACATAGATGCATAAGCCTCATGACAACCTTGAAGAGCACTAAATGAAACATTGGTTTAAACAATGGGATAAGTGTCCCAAAAGTACATATTCAATTAAAAGAAAATAAAACTGAAGATAATTCAAATGAACGTTTCACTTGAAAAGTTAAAAATTTAGTTTTGTTCTTTCATATAATGAATAAAGTTAAAGACTACACAACAAATAGTAACAAAAGGCTAAAACATTAAGTGCAAAACTGGTATATATAGGCTACCTTCCATGTTGTGAACATCACATTCTGTGGGCTTCCCTTTCTGACACTGCTTTGAGAAATACCATCATCTTTGTAATTACTCTGCATCAGCCCTTCCACAATGGATTCTAACTGTTCTGTAGAAAGGTGAGCGACATTTCTGAAGTTAACCATTGCTTTACCTGAAAATATATTTCAGAGAGATACTCACTTTTCTGCACCATCTCCCACCCTTCTTCCCTATTTACAATGCATTTAGTTTGGCTTGTCACATGCTACTGCTCATGGGGATTACTGTACAGGCATGATGTGTTGCCCTCCTACTGGTGGAGGGCTATAGAGTAATGATGATTACATCATAGGCTGGTGCAATACACATTTACAAATATATGGGTGGGATCTTTGTTCAAGGCTTGTGGCATGTGCAACAGATTACAGGTAATAGCTCTTTGTTGTGAAGAGAGATAAGTAGCATTTCTGAATTTTATTTTTCTTTAGTGATAGCAACTTAAACAAAATCCTGCACTTCCATCTTTCAATAACATATGCCTCTTTAACACAATTAGAATTATAACACCATTCAAATCATGATAACCCCTTGTACTACAGTGAAAAACAAGAAAAAATTTGAATTTACAATACATTAATCATGGTGTAGGAAAACAATATTTTTACAAAAAACAGTAGTGCAGCTATTAGATTGTTCTGATGATCAACAAAGACAAAAGGTGGTTCATTGATTTTATGTCTACAGAGCACCATCTAATAACCACTGCAGTTAAAACAATCATTTGGTTGACAGATCAGTGACAGAAAGGAGGCAGTGACCCTTTATTTTAAAGTTGACAAGTGGTGGTTCATGGTGGAATGTCTACACAACATTGCCTAGTAACCACTGATTTACAGAGCAGTTAGAATACCTATTTGATAAACAGATCAACAACTTAAAGGTAGTGAAATTCTTTTTCTAAGTTGACAAGTGGTGGTTGGGATAGAATATTTACACATCATCATCTAATAACTTCCTAATTATAGACCATTTAAACCCCTATTTGACTGAAAGATCAATGGCTCAGAGGAGGCAGTGACCCATTTTTTTTTTAGTTGACAAGTGGTGGTTCCTGGTAGAATGTCTACATCACATCGCATGATAACCACTCAGTTATAGAGCAGTTAAAACAACTGAAAGGCAATGAAATTCTTTAAAGTCTGAGTTGACAAGTGGTAGTTTGTTGTAAAATGTCTACTCAACATCTAATAACTGCTCAATTGTAGAAAATGAATTGTACATCTCGTGGAGGGTGCTTGATTGAAACATGTTGTGATTATCCAGAAGAAAGATACACCAAAGTTTTGTGTGGACTTCAAGTGGTTAAATGCAGACATGTGTCAATGCCTTCCCATTACTGTGCATGAATGAGTGTCTCAATGTGTTGGAACAACCTCACTGGCTCAATATCTTGGATACAACTTATAGATATCAGCACATTGTGACAGATGACAAAAACAGAGAAAAAAATGCTTTTAGCACAAAAGATGGCCTGTATGATTTCTGTGTCAAGCTATTTCGAAACCCGGAAAGAGCTTACACTCAAGGGACTATAATGAAGAATGCCTGGTATTTGTCAGTGATGTTTTGGTGTTTGGCTGCACTTTTGATTTAGTTTTTGAGAAGCAGAGTATGGTGTTCCAGTGCTTGAGAAGGGAGGCCTGATACTGAAAGTTAGAAAATGTCTGTTCATGCAAATAGAAATAAATGGGAGGAATGGTCTTTAGGGAACCAGCTAACATAGTTGTAATGTGAGACTGGCCTAGGATGATGAAACAGGAGGTTTGCAGTTTTCTTTGTTTTGCATTGTATTATTATCTAATTTGTAGATAATTTTTCACTTATAGCAACATCATTGTCTGATCTAACACAAATGGATGTGCTGCAGCTAATGGCTCCAGAATTAGCAGCAATATATATTCCAGAGGTTCCACAACACAAAAACTGATGGATTTTCTAGCTCTCAACTCAGTCAGGTGTTTGATGCTGATGTGAACACTGCATGGTATGCACCACCTAAAGGAAGAACCTGCCAAAACAGGGCGAACAACATACAACTGTTGGTTCTTCTGTACGGATGACATCGCTGGTCCATTCCCAGAGACAATCACTATATACTACTGGTCATAGATCATTTTATGAAGTAGGCCAAGGCTGATACATTGGTGCAGACATTTGTGAATGAGTTAGTGAAGAATTGGATGGTGCTTTTTGGAACACTTGAGGAAATAAACATAGGCTAAGGGGCCAATTTCAACAGCCAAATGTTCATTAAGTTGTGTAAAGTGTTTGTTGTGGTGAAGACTCATACTTCACCTTACTACCCCTAGTCATATGGTTTACCAGAGTAGACAATACAGACTACCAGGTGGATGCTAATGAAGTTTGCTTAACTCAACAGAACTGACCCAGTTAAACATTTGCATTCATGATGATGGCATAGAGAGAAGCAGAAAAGGAACCAAAAGGCTGTTTGCCAAACCTGCTCATATTCAGACATGAGGATGTAATGTATGATTACATAAGATTCTTTGGTACAATAGCTGGACCAGGAATCTGGAGAGGAGATCAATGAGTCTGAGGAAAGCAACAGTAAGGAAGACACAGTGGACATGTATCAGGCAGTCTTTGAAGACACAAATATGGAGTCAACAGATATGGAATGATTCACCAGTCTTAATCAGCAGTCAAATTGCTAATATCATCCTCCCAATGGATATGAATGGGGCTTTTCAGTTGAAGGTAGCACTTGATTACTGAAAAGATGTAGCATTCCTTGCAATCTGAGTTACTGAGTAGAAAAATCCAATGGAAGTAAATTACATGCATTGACTACTACTCAATTAGTTACAGCTGGGATGATCAGATAGTTGGATGACAACTGGTTGAAAGAGTGTCAGGAACCCATATTTGCTAAACTATAGAATGAATTCCATGTAATGGAATGTAATCCAAAATTTTGGATTCTAGCACAAAGGCAAGGATATGATAAAACATATCACTCAATATCCCCTTGATTTTACATCAATTTTCATGGGAAATGTGTCAGATCAACAGGAGACATTAGCCTTCTCTAAGGAGGTTGAAGTACAGTGGTAACAGCACAAATTTTAATCATAGCAAAAAGACTCTGCTCAAAATAGTTGATTTTTAAAATTTTACCAATGATTATTTATTTCATTAAATATCAAATAAAAACAAGTTGTTTGACAGCCCTTAATGACACCACCATTGCTACCAATTATCGCTTCAGCAGGTAAAAGACATTACCAAAGGAAAATGGAAAACAACTAGAACATTTGACAAAATGTAATGGTGGCATATACCAGCAAAACCAACTAGACTTTAAAGTTTCGGTTTTATACAACATCTCAAGAGGAAAATTCCATGACCATTTTTCTTTCGTGAAATTGACTAAAATTCAACATTTCTTATCATAGTTTATTCTTCGAATTAGTAATAAAACATTGACATGTTTGATATTCTAAAACAAACAATTTAATTCAATTTCTTATCCTTATCCCAACTATATTATCCTGCTATACCATATAATGATCATTTTGACAACTTTTAGAACAAAACATTTGTGAAACGCTACATCTGATATGGTGTACATTATAAATGACATGTTTAAAGGGTACAGAATGTGTATTTGTAATCACTAGAACATGACTACATTCAGGATTTAAAATTTTAATTCTGGAAAGAGATTACACACTATGTTTTTAAAAACAGTATATTTCCAATTAAGTGTTAACTTTAGAAACTGTCTATACATGAATAATGTATAAAACTACATTGTTAAGATATTTCTTTTACAATGGAATTTAATGAATGAACACAATCTTTGATAACTAAATGTGCTAGTTTTCACACTTTTCTTTCAAAGAAAAATCTCTCATGATGACAGCATACTGCTTAAACTTTTGCTCCATTCCTAGTAGCTGGTAATAAAAAAATTTTGCTTCTTATTATTAGTGTGTCAAAACATGACGTCCTTTCAGTATACGTCGCATGATTATTCTTCTTCCTGCTGGTGTGGATAATCGAGCTTTGTAACCATGTCTTTTAACCCTTTTATGCTCACTAGGTCTTGGAAAATGATTACGAACATTGTACCGAACTTGCTGAAAACCAACTCCTAAAAATGCACCTGAAGTCTGAGATAGCTGAATTCCAGAAGTAGATGACTTCCCAGTAAGAACAAAGCTTCCAATGTGTCGACTCACTGTCATCCAACTCCTCAAAGGCACCAACAAACTTGAAAGATTCATACTATAATGAAATGATTTACATATTATTAAATGTAAACAAAGAAAATGTATAACTACAAACAACAGACATATCTCTAACAGTTTAATAAGACAAACTACAAAAAAATGGTACAACCATAGTGTGTGATCCACAAAGATATTTACATTATAGCATACAGTCTACACAGATATTATCATCACCACCATTTTAATGATTCACTAAAACAAACTTTCTTGCTAAATGATTTATATCCATCCATGATTTTGTTCAGCAAATAATAATAACTTAATTAGTTGCATGTTCCAAGTAAGTGCTTTAAGTTTATGTTATAACTGTGCTAGTTTTGATTGTTGGAACTTATTTCATTCTGATTATATTTGCCCCCAAATGTTATGTAATGGTATGTTGTAATTTATTAAGTTTGAAAGCATTATGTATAATAACTGGCACCAATTGCAAATAAACGAAAGTTAAAACGGTGAAGATAATAGTATCTGTGTACACCACACACTATAGTAGCACCAAAAAAACAATGCACAAGTTTGTCTGGGTTTACATAATTAGGGCTTTTGAACTATTCTGTGCATTTGTTTTTTGAATTTCATGCAAAGCTGACCCTAATTTAGCAGTGTAAGTCTAAAGGGAAGGCAGCTAGTCATCACCACCCACCACCAATTCTTGAGCTATTACTTTACCAATGAATAGTGTGATTGACTGTCACATTATAATGCCCCTATGGCTGAAAGGGTGAGCATTTTTGGTGTGACAGGGATTCGAACCTGCGACCCTCAGATTGCGAGTCAAACGCCTTAACCACCTGGCCATGCCGAGCCTATTCTGTGAGAAATCAAAGGATAAAGCTTGTACATCCACTACATAATCAATGCACTATTGATATATGTAATAGTCAGAATTAAAAAAAAAAAACATATGTCTTTAATACTAATGATTCTGAAAATTTTAAAATATAATCTTGCGTAAAGACTAACACCTGCTAAGGGGTGGATATTATGCATTCTATAAGTAAGACACTAAAGAACTGCCTTTTAGTACAATACAGCATTCTCAGTATTACAACTTGGGTAACATTACAAACACTCAAGTGGGCAAGACGTCCATCCAAAATACATAGTACTGTTCTTAATTTTGTAAAATTGAAGAAAAATGACAAACCCTGCAAGTACTGATGGTTTTGAACAATACAATCCGTGATTTGGAACATATCACAACATTCTAGTTTTCAATTTATAAATCTATATGTATATATTCCAGATTTACAGAAAATGATAAAAAGATTCTATAAAAAGTCATCATGGTGATATACCTTGAATACACAAAAAGAAGCAATGAAAAAAAAAGGATGGGATGGTTAGAAGGCAAGGCAGACAGATCAGAATCTGAAGTAAGACCAACACTTCTGGTATATACACAAGGAGAAAAGGTGAATGGTACAAGCAAGGAAACATACAACATGAAGGGCAAGTCCCTGAGCTGAGGCACGGAATTGGAAAAAAGTCACATGTGAATTTGGAGTGTGGTGACATTGGGATGAAAAATGTTCAATCTTGCCAGTGAAAGGAGTGATCAGGACAGAAATAAGGGCAGGGACTGTTGTTCCATTAAGGGCCACAGTGAGGGGAACCATGTCTGAACCGGACAAAATGAAGCAACCAGCAGAACACAACTAGCAGTGGTCCGGATAAGGGAGATGAGTCTGATCGCAGGGTAGGCATATAAGTGAAGACCCCTCCAATCTTGATTGAAAGCCTCCACCCCCAGAGCTGAGGGGTGAGGAACTGGAGATCGAAAAAGGAAGAAAATTTGGCATTCCAGTGAGTGGGAAACACACACACACACACGTATATATAATATATAAATATATAGCATTGTTCCCAATTGAGAACACACCCTCAGAAAAAAACCTGAGGATGAAGGGACCACTCCATGGGGAGAACATGGATGGTAAGTGATAAGATTCATAACTCCAGGATCATAACACCCCAGAACTGTCATGTCATGGTTGTTGATCTAGTACAGGAGATCCAGAGTCTCAAAACACAGAGATCTGTACTTAGTTCCCCCTTGCTTGGTGATATGGCTGATGACAGTGGAATTGACAGAATGAACACAACAACCAAGTCCCACAGAAATGGGAGGAAATGGTACAGAGGCTGATGAACTGCCAAAGGTTCTAGGATGTGGATATGGACAGTAGCCTCCTCGACTGACCACCAACCTGAAATCTCTATGGAATCAAGGAACCCCCCCCCCCCCACCCCCTACAACCCACCAAGGAAGCATCTGAGAACAGATGAGACTCGGGGCGAGGCGGAGGAATGGGAACCCCCACCGTGGTCCCTATCAAGCCACCAAGCAAGAATAGTCCTGATCCTAGGTGGAATGGGAGATGGGATGGTCCAAGCACATATCTCCAAGAGAGAGATAGAACCTCTCATGCAGAGAGAAAAGGTAAGGCCTTCGTAACTGCCTGCTCCATATCCCAGAGCTAATGTGGAGAAGGCTGAGCTTGATCAAGACAGAAAGTGAAACAGTGAGGGGATAGTAAAGGACTTCTCCAACTTGATGAGAAACCCCACCCAAGCAGCTTCTTGAAGAAGTTAGCAGGTGTGAGTAACTGACTGGGCATGAGAGGAGGTGAGAAGAAGCCAGTCATCTGTGTTATGGTGAGTCTGAAGGCCCAATGAGTGAAGATGATGTAAAAAAGAGTATACCACCTGACAAAACACACACGGAGCTGAGGTAAGATCAAACAGCAGCACCCAGAACTGGAAAATAGAACTAACGTTGATGAACTGAAGAAAACAATGTGATATTGGGGCAAAAACCCACCGAAGTGGTGAAGTGAGCTGTCACCAAATAAGTATACAGCCGGGACAGATCTATGATGGGACTCCAATCTCCCGTACTTTTGGAGAGAACAAATCGATAGGAGTACAATGCCATTTGTATGGGCACCATCCATTTGATAGCTACTTTTTTGTAGTGGGTCTTGAACATACTTGGTAAGATGACTGGACAAGGTATGATCCCAAGATGAAAGGATGGAGATCTGGGAAGTAGATAGAGGAGGAGCAAAATGGAAGGCAGAAACCCTGAGATAGAACCTGTAGAACCCACGAAACTGTTGTGAAGTGTAGCCAAAAAGACACATAAACTAAACATACTTAGAAAAAGTACTCTTTACTCACAAACTAACAGAACTTAGAAATGTGTAGAGACTGCAAAGTATATAAAAATAACAAACCTACAAAACTAAGAAATTCAACCTAAAACAATAAGTAACACCTAAAGTATAAAACCACTAAAGGAATTTAGAAAATAAACAACCCTGAAATATCGAACAGATAAGTCCACCTAACGTATCTATAAGACAAAGGACACAAAATCAAAACATACCCTGATGAACTTGAGAATAATAAGGTACCCATTGAACAATAACAAATTCTGACTCAATCTCCAAGTGGATGTGACTAGTAGTAAAGAAAAAGGAACTTGCAAACTAAATCACATTAATAGTGAAAAGAAATAAAAATTTAAACAAAAATAAACGAACAATCAAACTCCAAACACAAGTTTAAACTAAAGTAACCTAGATGGTAAAAGAAGTATAAAAATCTAACTTGCCCAACAATGAGCAGAAAAGACATGAATGACCTAACTTATCGAGTGCGGAAAGTAGGTCCATCCACACAAGCTCACATAAACTCACTAAACATGGGTATACCAACAGGAAGTGAGAAATACACATTGAAAAACTTACCACAGATCTCATAGGAAAAAGAACAATACCTAAACCAGCAGATTACGTTAAGGCATGGTAATAGGTGGAAAGTGCTGTAAAAAGAGAATTTCCACATAGTAGTTATATCCTTCTTCTCAAAATATTTAATGTGAAAGGAAAAAGCATCAGCCTGAATGTAAGACATGAACTCCCTGCAAACTAAAGCCTGTGCTTCCCTAGTAGACATCATTCCCCGAGACCTAGGGACTAGTGTCAGAATCATTGTCTACTTATGGAGGGAATTTTATCATTCATCATATTAAATCCAGAATTCATATGAACAAGGTAAAATTCAGAAAACAGAAACATTTCTGAAACAAACAAGTAGAAATGATGGAAATCAAACACAAGATGTCAAAACTCATATAAATATGTGATCAAGCACAATTAAAATTTTGTAGTCACATGGAGCACGAGTTAAAACACATGTCCATACACTATAATGCCAATCCAGAAAATGAGGATTGTGCTGGAATGGTAGAGTGAGCTACATGTGCTAGTATATGTAGTGCAGTATGATTGGTGGAGGGTTGTCACATGATCAACACATGTTGCTGCTATGGCACAAAGTTTTGAAATTTTCAATATCTAGGCAGCTATACTACCAATTATGTGAAATGATGTGTGTTCTCACTTCATTTATTTTTTTACTCGTACTTAGATCAGTAAATACTGTTAATGTTATCCTGAAGGTTAATCAGTATACTTTCACATGCATTTTTCTAATACTGTCTAGTAATGAAATCCAAGTACAGCCATATTTTTCATGCTTCAATGTAGATCATGTGGCCAGACCATCAGACAGTTTCCTGAAAAATTCAACTGACAGACAAAAGCTTCCCACAACTTCCAATTCAAATAAATGATTAACTTTACTAAACAGTTATCTACTAGAATTTGAGATAATCAAATATTATCTAAATCATCATATTGTTAATACACCATCTTTTAAGTTTTATCTTGCTTTATCCTCCTCCTTTTATAGGTAGGTGAAAATTTATAATATTTTATCTGAATGTTGTCATGTGCTTATACTTAAGTTATAGTAATTTAGATTATATTCTAATTAACATGTTGAAAGAACTCTCAATGATGCTTATTTCAAGGTGCAAAACCTCTTTCATTAATGAATGTTCTTTCATGTTTCATCGAACTTGAAGAGAATACCAAACTTTTTAAATATTAGTTTAACAATCACATTTCATGGGAAGAGATGAGTTTTTATGGATGAATGAAGTACAATATTCTACAATCCGTTGCTGGAAATAATTGGTACTGTGGTAGTGAACCCAATAAAGTTTTTCAAATTAATTCAAGGAGAGAACATTTGTATTTAAAAATAACATAGAACTGCACATTGATGCATTTTTTTAACATTTTTCTTGTATGGGAAGAAATATATTAGCCAAAACTGTACAAAAGGAGATCTTAACTTAAAGACACTTAAACTTAAAGATACATCTATACTATAGTCCAAATCTTTTAATTCAGTTTAAACCATTCCATAAAATAATCCATCCCACTTCCAGGAATAGTAGTAGTAACTATAGTATATTACTGGTATTACTACTAATAATATTATTAGTAATAGAATTATTACTATTAGTATTACTTCTACTAGTAGGCCCATGTATATCGCTAGTAATAGTAGTACTAGAGCAAATAATCTATAGACTGTATTAATAACTATTTCCAATAACTGTTAAGTCTATATGTATTATAATTTTTAACGATAATATTCCCAAAACTGTCCAAAATATTATAACTGAGTTACCAAATAATTTGTTTAAAAGAGATAATTAATCACCTTTTCTTTACTTGTATTTGTAATCAGACTAAAAGTTTCACTTTCAGTAATTCCTCCAACTGTTGTGAGTATGAAAAGAAAAACAACTTTGATTCACTATTACAAAATTAATAATAACGATAAGGAGTGCAAAATGAAGAAATATATCATACTTTTAACAAAATTTATATCTTATTAATTAAATGAAAAAATATATCATACATTTAACTACATTTATATCTCAATTTACGCTCCTATTGAATAAATAAACCTTGAAATTCGAGTTTTTTCTTCTTTTTTGAATCATTTTTAATACGATGGGCATATAATATATACTCATTTTAGATTTACTCCTTGCAGAAATAAAAAAGAAAAATATGTTCATAGAGAATTGTGTTTGGTTATCTTAACATATACTGTATATTCTGGCACTTTAAAAGTTCTGTATAAAAGAATTGACATCTCCAGTGTATTTGTACGCAATATATTTCTAGTAACAAATACATATATATTTATATTTGTAAAGAAAGAAATGAAGCATTAATAACTATGTGACTAGATAAACGGAAAAAATTACTTATATATTGTTACGTCTCTGCTCGTTTGTTAATTTCCGGTATAAATTCTTCCCGAGGAACTTCAGCGATACAAGTCCTTTCTTAAATAAAACTAGTTTATTCTTTCTCAATACAACTTTGCCTGGCCCGGCATGGCCAGGTGGTTAGGGCGCTCGACTCGTAATCTGCGGGTTCGAATCCCCATCACGTCAAACATGCTCTCCCTTTCAGCCGTGGGAGCGTTATAATGTGACGGTCAATCCCACTATTCGTTTGTAAAAAGTAGCCCAAAAGTTGGCGGTGGGTGGTGATGACTAGCTACCTTCCCTCTAGCCTTACACTGCTAAATTAGGGACGGCTAGCGCAGATAGCCCTCGTGTAGCTTTGCGCGAAATTAAAAACAAACAAACAAACAATACAGCTTTGCCATACACAGAATTTCCACAGTCATTTAAATTTAAACACACGCTATAATTCAAAACGATTCACGTACTTTACTTACGGTCACTACCGCTCGCTCGCTTGACTCAATTATCTGTCTATCTGCCATTTTTTCCTATCTATGCAATTATTTGCTGGGTTTATATACTAAAATAGAGGGCGTCTGGCAAACACTAGAGTTGCCAGGAAAAGTCAAGATCCTTCGAGAATCTCATGACGTGTTACCAGCGTCACGAGACTTCCGCTGTCGTAACAATATATTTGAATAAGAAAGAGAAAAAACTCGGAGTGAAGTCCAGATTAGCAACATTTTACCGGTCGTATCCTCAATATCAATTTTGTTCATGCCACTTCTTGTCAATAGAAAATAGCATTTTTAATATCTATCTTGCCGTATCCGGAAAAAGTTTGTTTCTGTGAATGTGGAGAAACGTTTGGTTGAATCTAATTTGGATTTACCCAACACCAAGACTACAAGATAAATATTAAAGTTGGTTAAAAGTAAAGTTAAAAGAATGCTACCTAAGTTTGATCTTACAGAGTTTAATACAATCTATTTGATAGATGGCACAAGTACATTAGCTTTCTCAAAGGTTTCATGATTAGTTTGTAAGCAACATTTGTGAATAACTTCTTGTTTGTTGTTAAAAGCAAAGCTACACAATAGGCTATCTATGTTGTGCTCACGACGGGTATCGAAACCCGGTTTTATCGTTACAAACCTTCAGACTTTCCACTGAATCAATGAGGGTTTTATGAATAATAGATAAATGAATATGACAGGGAAAGGTTGATACAGCTATAAGCTGTATTTATAATATAATTTGTTTAAATTTAGAAGTTAGCTAAAGGACATCAAGAGTTAGGAAGTCCTAGAAATATCTAGCTAAAACAAGTGGATAATAAATATATGATGTTCAATGAAGCATCAATAGAGTGGTTAGAAAGTGAACCGTTTCAAGAGTAGAGTTAGGTAATCAAGAAGATAGGTAGAGTTATTCCAAGATAGATCTAGAGAGCCGTTTTCCTGAAGTATTTTGATGTCCATCTGCCATCGCGCTTACTGTGTTGCCTTGTACAAGTTGATATTGTTTACGTAAGTATAGTACAATTTCAACCTCATTTGTAAAGTAGGCTTACAGTAATGTACGACAGTGTACAAATGCTCAAGTTCGAAAAAACTTAAATAAGGAAATAAAATAATTATTTTCGTCACATGAACGGAGAGTATTGAATTATTTTCACTATATAATTTATATGAACCCCCAAAGAAATGATCACACTAAAATACCAATGCCAGAAGAGGTGTATGTTTTGGTGAAAATAAAATAAAATTCTGAACATACTTGAAATAGATATTCAGCTGTTGAAGATGGCCATCACGAAGTCCAGTAGTGAGATTTAAGCATTACTTTAAATAATGAAATCATTATGACAAGGTCAGGATGAAAGACACGGAAACTTTAAGGAATATTAAGAATAACTTGATAAGAAAATAAAAAGACCAAGAACGGTAAGATATAAAATAATAGAAAAACCAATAAATAAATTATGAAAACTAACAGAGGACCAAGAAGCAAGAGAAGAAAATCAAGAAGAAAGAGATAGAAAATTAAAAGAACATGACAGGAATTTACGAGAAGAGTTAAAAGAAAGAGACACACTATTTAAGGAAATACTAAAATCAAGAATAAATTTGATTAAAGAAAACTTGGATTAAACTATTAGATATTGTTGCGTCAGCGAGTCACATGACCACTGTGGCGCCCTCTAGTTTCTAGAACTATCTTGTTCTTTCAGGAATGCTCTAGTAATTACTAGTAGGGTAGGCTGGTATATATAAGAGGGGAAAACGTGACGCGGTTAGGTAATGTGTGTGTAGACAGTGAGTAATTGAACTGCAGTCACAGGGTATTGTTGAAGTTAACGTTCGTTCGTGATACTGTTTGTTTTAGCGCGAATATTGAGATTAAGTGTATCGCAGAGTTATATTCGGAAAGAATAAACCAGTTTTATTAAGTAAAGACTTGTGTCGCTTAAGTTTCGTCGGAACGAAGTTACGGAAAATTAATTAACACACGGAGACGTAACAATATCTATAAGTAGATGTACAGTAAAATTGTAAAAGTATGGAGATACTCGAATGACAACATTAAAGAAGTCAAAATGAAATACAAATAGGCACAAAGGAAGCAAAAAAAGACATCAACATTGAAGATAGAAAGAACATTGGTGACAAGATAAAACACTTGGAGAATGAATTATTAAATGCAAAGACTAAACAAGCAATACCTTTTTCAGCATTTGTTCAAGATTTCCAATCGAAAACACCATCTACTACCAAACATGTAATTGGAGAACTGATCACTTTATATCCATTACCACTACTGCTGTGCTACCTGTTAGTGAAAGGCATTCCTGGACTACTACAGCCATGATACTACCAAATCCAGTTCTGGAATGTAGCTAGCTAACTCAACATCAGCCAATCAAGAAATCTACAGAATATAATTGACCACAGGAGTCATACCTGGCTCAGTCGAAAATCATTTTCAGAATTAACAAGTAGAATAGTGAAGAATAAGTAATTTATCTTGCTACTCACCTAAACCAATGAGCTATGAATTCTTTAGTAATTTTTCAACAGTGAGTCATAACAAAAGGTCTGGAGTGTCACATCAGAAAGAAGTATCCAGAGCAGATTTCTGGAATACAGAACAGAAAAAAGAGCCCTTAGCTGTACTTATAGAAGATTAGGAAAGACTTGTCAATTGTCTTACCAGGAAGCTTCTCGAGAAATGATTGATTCCTTTGCACATGACAAACTTATGGACATCATAACAGATGAAGATGTGAAACTATACTGAAGCAAAGTAGATGTACATCTTTAAAGTATAATTTGTAGTTGGTGAATGAGAATTTACGTACCAGTTTGTTTTTATTATAATTACCTCATATTAACATATCATGTACTATTTATAAGGCCCCCAGTGGCTCATTGATAAGTCAACAGACTCACACTACAAAATATCGGGTTTCGATACTCGTGATGGGCACAGCACAGATAGCCCGCTGTCTAGCTTTGTGCTTAGCAATAAATAAACAAACTATTCACGAATTGTTACATATTTAATTTTGAAAAGTATTATAAACCTCAGAGCTTCTACGTTTTCATTTTATAATGTATTTTACCACATAAAGTCTTCTTAATATGTAAAAGACTTTCGTATAATCAAAGTGTTATGTTAAAAATAATAATTACAGTACAAAAATAGGAAGATTTCAAGACTATCCAGAAATTGTATGCAGCAACCGGACATTGCCAGAACAGTAGGGTACCCTAGTGTACTGTATCCGGAATCCTGAGATGTCATCGGGCTACAGGAAACTTTGTTCTAGGTATAGGAAAATCTACTGGTACACATCAAAACACTACTGCCCGAGATGACAGTGTTTTGATCAGGTTAACACAACAAGGTGAAAAGAAGTCTTGCAACATCTTACTTCCGGAATTGCATGAACACATTTATTCCAGGGTATCCCGAAGAACAGTGAATACGAGACTGACCAAACAAGGTTATTTTGCAAGAAGGGCTATTTGTAAACCGATATCACAATTCACCCCCATCACCGTGTTACTTGGGCAAGACAACATTCCAACTTACAGTTAGAACACTGACGACATGCCATCTTTTCAAATGAGTCCTGTTTCCGTCTTCATAAAGCTGATGGTAGGGTTTGTGTTCGTCGTTTGCCTGGAGAACAGTTGAGGGAAGACTGTGTTCCCCACAGGAATACATGTTTGGGCAGCTATTTATCATGGTGGAAAATTGTCATATCCTCCACGAAAACGTCGATGGCGCCTTTTACAGGCGTCACATGGAAACGATATTTCTACCGTATGGTAGGGCAAGGTTGGACAATAATTTTGTTTGAGGATGACAATGCTACTGCCCATAGTGCGCATATTATACAGAATTATGTCGACCAGGAGGACGTTACAAAATTAACATATTTAATATGAACTGATATGAGGTTACAGACGATATTTATAATAATTTGATGTTATATTTTGTCATTATATACGTTTTTGTGAGGTTTTGTTGTGATAGGTG